TTAGTAAAAGGCGAAAGAATAGTTCGCTATGTGCTCACGGCGCAGCTGCTTGAATTTTACAATTACTGTGCGCTTCAATTTATTTCTTCGGATTTAAGTTCATAGTTGAGTCTTCTTTCTATGTGGGATACTTATCTATGCACTATGTCTTGACTTTTAGAACTAAAGTCAAAATTTAAAATCTTACTGAGAGCTTACTTCACTATTAACAAATTTTAATTGTATTTTAAGAAGAAAACTATTATTTTTTTTAACTAAACTTAGCCAATTTGGTAAATTAATTCAATTGTAGAGGGCAATGGTTTTAGATCAATCATAATAATGCAGGGAGTAAACTGAATTTACTAATGAATAGACTATTGTATATTTATCAGTTGAAACTAATTTACTGATATCAAAATATATTTGAAGAATTTGTTTGTTGAGTAAATCATCCCTACAAAATAGGGGTTGAGGGTTGGAATCAGAAATGATTGAAAACTTATTATACGTAATAGAATACATAATAATTTTGATATTAGACGATTAGTTTAGAAAAGACACATTGTTTTTCAAAATTAAAATCAGATCGAATTCCAAGTTAATAAAAAAAAATCAGAAACTAAGAAACAAAATTTTCGGATTTGGAAGGAAAACTATTGTTCCCAAAAAAAATGGGATCAAATTGAAAGGAATTTGAAAATTTCGTTCCAATTTGAAAAATGGGATCAAACTGGTGGGCTGAGCCGATGCTTGAGCCATTTCCCAGGTTGCTATTCCTTGGCAGGACATTTTGCCTCGAAATGATGTAGTGATAACAGGATCGGACCGTAATATAACCTTATATTTGGCCCGTAAGATGCCTAATGGAACGGCCATGATTCTGTCTCGATCAATCGGCCAAAATGTATCATTTATTAGTGAGATGTTCCTAGAGCAAGTCGAGTTGTCGATGAGATCCGAAACCCTGTCAGGAAAAGATGAGGAGATCGATCTACGGGTAAGAATTCTAACAGGGGTATCATCAATATTAGCCGAGAGAATATTATCATTTGGGAAGTATTTGGCTTTGAAAACCCGGGCCAACAGGGTGTCCGGTCTTGTCAAAATTCTCCATCCCTGTTTAGCAAGTAGTGAAGTATTGAAGCTCTAAGATCGCGAAAACCAAAACCACCAAATACCGTTGTTGAACACATTTTTCGCCAGGAAGCCCATGCTAGCTTTCGCTTTGTCCCATCACCCCACCAATATCTTTTAATTGTCGTTTCTAGCTCTGACTAATCCCGGTAGGAAGTAGAAAGCAGCTCATAATATAAGTAGGGATTGCTTGAAGCACTGGTTTAATAAGAACCTCTTTGCCTGCACTCGATATGTGCTTTTCTCCCCACCCTTTAATCTTACCCCAAATTCTATCACGAAGGTAGCTGAAAAACTCCTTTTTGGTTCGTCCCATAGTTGTCGGCATACCCAAATATTTATCATGGCGCTCCACCACACGAAAACCTAGAATTTGGTGAATTAATTGCACTTGCTCGTTTGAGGTGGACGGGCTAAACATCATAGTGAACTTATCTAAATTAATCTCTTGTCCCGAGGTTCTCGCATATTTAAGCAAAATGTTTTTCAACACTGAAGAGTTCGATTCCGATGTTTCACAGAAAAATAGGGTGTCGTCTGCAAAACAAAGATTGGATGTAACTGGGGCAGTTGGGGCTATTCTCACGTCATGCAAGTTGCCTGCTTCTACCATTGCAATGAGAGCTTCTGTGCAGCAGATAAAAAGGTAAGGCGAGAGGGGATCTCCTTGACGAAGACCTCTTTCAGAGTGTACCTTGATGAACTGTGTTTCATTAAATAAAACAAATAAGAAACTGATGAGATGCATAACCTACTCAAGTCCACAAAATTAATAGGAAAACCAAAACGACTAAGAATCTTTTTAAGAAAAATCCATTCAACTCGATCGTAGGCTTTACTGATATCCAGTTTAATCGCCATAAGATTGGTTATGCCCCTAGATTTTGACTTTATAAAATGGTTAACCTCGAAAGTTACAAGAACAGTATCTGTGATGAGAAGATTAGAGACAAAAGCGGATTGGGTAGGAGAGATTATGTCGTTTAAAAAAGGTCTAAGGCAGTTGGCAGTCATTTTTTACCCAATTTTATAAATTACATTACAGAGACTAATTGGCCGATATATTCAGTGATATTTTCTAAGGTTTTTTGACTTTGGGAATGCGGACAATACATGTGAAGTTCAAGGCCGAAGGAAGCACACGATGATTAAGGAAATTGTGGGTACAAGATATCACACTATCACCCAGAATATGCCAATATTTTTTATAAAATAAAACGGGTAAACCATCAGGGCCAAGGGATTTTAGAGGAGCCATTTGTGAGATGGATCAGGTTACCTTAGGCGATGAAAAATGGAGAGAAAGCATCTGACTAGCCTCGCCGCCGATCCTTGGCTCAATATGTGTCATCTATCTCATCATCAGCACACGGGTTGAATGATTGGAAAATATTCTCAAAATACTATGAGATAACCTGCTCCATATCGCCCTCTCTCTCGGCCCATTGCCCAAATATGTCTCTAATCATATCCACTCTATTCACACGATTTCGCTGAGTAGCCTTGCATGGAAAAAAGTCGTAATTCTATCTCCTTCACTGATCCATTGAATCCTGGTTCTTTGTTTCCTAAAAATATCCTCAACGGCATATAATATCTCTAATTCCGCACGTAGAGCACGAGATTCTTTGATATATATCAAAATTAATTAATTAGGCTAATGGCATCGCATTTTGCCATTATATATATATATATATATTGTAAGGGTAAATTTTGCCGATTTTAAAATGTTTGGGTGCAAATCGACAAAAACTATTAATTCTGGGGTGCAAAACGCAATTCACCCCAAATTGTACAGTTTGTTTGTGAAACATAAACAAAAGAATCCGTGCAAACTTTGCGAAAACCTACTAAAATTCTAACCCTTAGTCCATCTCTAACCATTAGTCCATCTCTCAGGTAGGGAATAGCAGTGAGGAGACTCCGCCAAGTAGCAGATGGGCGCCCTCCAATATTAGCCGAGAGAATATTACCATTTGGGAAGTATTTGGCTTTGAAAACCCGGGCCAACAGGGTGTCCGGTCTTGTCAAAATTCTCCATCCCTGTTTAGCAAGTAGTGAAGTATTGAAGCTCTATAGATCACGAAAACCAAAACTACCAAATTCCTTTGCTGAACACATTTTTCGCCAGGAAGCCCATGCTAGCCTCCGCTTCGTCCCATCACCCCACCAAATATTTTAATTGCCGTTTCAAGGTCTCGAATAATCGCGGTATGAAGTAGAAAGCAACTCATAATGTATGCGGGGATTGCTTGAAGCACTGCTTTAATAAGAACCTCTTTGCCTGCACTCGGTAGGTGCTTTTCTCCCCACCCTTTAATCTTACCCCAAATTCTATCACAAAGGTAGCTGAAAATCTCCTTTTTTGTTCGTCCCGTAGTTGCCGGCATACCCAAATATTTATCATGGCGCTCCACCGCACGGAAACCTAGAATTTGGTGAATTAAGTGCCTTTGCTCGTTTGAGGTGGACGGGCTAAACATCATAGTCGACTTATCTAAATTAATCTCTTGTCCCTAGGTTCTTGCATATTTAAGCAAAATGTTTTTCAACACTGAAGAGTCCGATTCCGATGCTTCATATAAAAATGGGGTATTCTCACGCCATGCGAGTTGCCTGCTTCTACCTCGCTTTGAACCATTGCAATGAGAGCTTATGTGCAGCAGATAAAAAGGTAAGGCGAGAGGGGATCTCCTTGACGAAGACCTCTTTCAGAGTGTGCCTTGCCGAACTGTGTTTCATTAAATAAAACAAATATGAAACTATGGTGAGATGCATAACATAATCAAGTCCACAAAATTAATAGAAAAACCAAAACGAATAAGAATCTTTTTAAGAAAAATCCATTCAACTCAACCGTACGCGTTACTCATATCCAGTTTAATCGCCATAAGATTGGTTATGCAGATTTTGACTTTATAAAATGGTTAACCTCTAAAGCTACAAGAACATTATCTGTGATGAAATGATTACGGACAAAAGCAAATTGGGTAGGAGAGATTAGGTCATTTAAAAAAGGTCTAAGGCGGTTGGCAATCATTTTCGACCCAATTTTATAAATTACATTACACAGACTAAGGTGCCGATATTCAGTGATTCTCTCAGGTTTTTTGACTTTGGGAACGAGGACAATATATGTGAAGTCAAGGCCGATGATTAAGGAGATTGAGGGTACACAATATTACACTACCACCCTGAATATGCCAATATTTTTTGTAAAATAAAACAGGTAAACCATCGGGCCAGGGGGTTTTAGAGGGGTCATTTGTGAGACGGATAGGACTAACTTAGGCGATGAAAAGGGAGAGATAGCATCTGACTAGCCTCGCTGCCGATCCTTGGCTCAATATGTGTCATCACCTCATCTATCTCCTCAGCACACGGGTTGGAAGATTGGAAAATATTCTCAAAATACTCTGAGATAACCAGCTCCATATCGCTATGTCTCTCGGCCCATTGCCCAAATATGTCTCTAATTATATCCACTCTATTCACTCGATTTCGCTGAGTAGCCTTTGCATGGAAAAACATCTTAATCCTATCTCCTTCACGGATCCAGTGGATCCTGCTTCTTTGTTTCCAAAAGAATATCCTTAACGGCATATAATATCTCTAATTCCGCACGAAGAGCACGAGATTCTTTGATATATATCAAAATTAATTAATTAGGCTAATGGCATCGCATTTTGCCATTATATATATATATATATATATATATATATATATATATATATATACTGTAAGGGTAAATTTTGCCAATTTTAAAATTTTTGGGTGCAAATCGACAAAAACTATTAGTTCTGGGGTGCAAAACGCAATTCACCCCAAATTTTACAATTTGTTTGTGAAACATAAACAAAATAATCCGTGCAAACTTTGCGAAGCAGAGGGAGTAACGAGATGCTGAGACGGAAACCTACTAAAATCCAAGTTAAAGTCGAAGACAAAGAAGAACTCGAAGAAGCCCGCAAACGCGCCGCCGCCGCCGCCGCCTCCTCCTCCACCGCCACATCCTCTCTCCTCCAGCACTTCGACCGCTCTTCCCTCGATCCCTCTTCCAAATCCCACCGCATCGGCCTCTCCTAACCCCCAAAATCACACCCAAAAAAAAAGTTAAAAAAAAAAAAAAAAAAAAATCAATTCAATATCAAATCAGCAAAAAAAACGGGGCTTTTATCAAGATTGATAATGGAGGTAGAAGTGAAGCTCCGATTACCAAACAAAGCCGCCCACCACAAGCTCACCTCCCTCCTCTCCCCATTCCACACCGCCACCCACCACCAGCACAACACCTTCTTCGACGGCGCCGCCGCCGAGCTCAGCTCGCAGCGAGCCGTGCTCCGCCTCCGCTTCCACGAGGAAACCGCCCACCCGAAATGCTTCGTCTCCCTGAAGGCGAAGGCCGTCCTGGCCAACGGCGTCAGCCGCGTGGAGGAGGACGAGGAGGAGGTGGACCCCACAATCGGAAGATCGTGCCTCGACGAACCCCGGAAGCTGATGGGCGAGGATTCTTCTAGGGTTTTGAAGAGGGTGAGGGATGAATTTGGTGTCGAGGGTTTCGTTGGGTTGGGTGGGTTTAGAAATGTGAGGAGTGTGTATGAATGGAATGGTGTGAAGTTGGAGGTCGACGAGGTTAAGTACGAATTCGGGGATATGTACGAGGTCGAGTGCGAGAGCACCGAGCCCGAGAAGGTCAAGAAGATGATCGAACAGTTCTTTAACGAAAACGGGATCGACTACTCCGATTCCGTAATGTCCAAATTCGCCATTTTTCGCGCCGGGAAATTGCCCTCTTCTTAGTAAGTGCGTTTGTCATCGATGCTTTTGATCATGGAATGTCGGTTTATTTTATGCATCAATCAATCGTATACGTATCCTGCATTTCATTGCATTCGGTTTCATCGACTGAATTTTTGGTAGTACTGTTTTTGCAGTATGAGCATCGACTAAAAATTTGCTTGTACATTTCCTTGATTCGAAATTTTCGGAACTATTTAAATTGGTGAATATAGAAGAAGGGGTTCGTTTTATTTTCCATTGTTGAATCTGTTTCTTGTTGGTATGCTAATCGTGATATTTAACATTGTCTATTTAAAATGCAAGGGCAAATTACGGCCACCCCTGAGGTATGGCCAAATTACGGAAAAACCCCTCCTGTTTGGTTAATTACAACCACCCCCTCCTTTTAAATATTTTTACATAAAATTTATGTAATTCGGTTATTTACCGAACTAAATCATATATTTAGTTCGGTAAACGGTATGAAATGTTGGCGTACCGAAATTTCGGTTCGGTTTTACCGAATTAACATCCCTAAATTTACCTCTGGAGGGGTCTTTTCGTAAGATAATACATAGTTGAGCGGGGTGGCTGTAATTACCCAAACAGGAGGGGGGTTTTCGTAATTTGACCATAACTCAGGGGTGGGCGTAATTTGCCCAAAATGCAATGACAAAACTGCACTTTAGGGTATTCTTCTCTTAGAGTACTATACCTTTTATCTACTATTACTTAGCCACTTTTTGAATCTTCACATTTGATCGGTACATATGTCGACTAGGATTTGTCAAAACACATTGTGCTGAGAAATATGCCGACCGTATCGGAAATGGGGTATTCTTGCAGAAGCTATGCTAGTTCGGAGAGATCGCCTTACTGAAGATACTCTTCTTTTAAACCTCGTCGCTTAGAAATTTGTCATGTTCTGCGGTGGGAAATAAATTATCACGTGCACGCACGTCTAGTTTTGAAATCTTTTCTTGACAGTTTTTGTTCCGTAAAAATTATTTGCCATTATATGGTCTAGTTTCGAACCTTTTTACGTAAGTTTATGAATGTCTTGCTGGTTGTTGAGGAGATTAAGGTGTGCTTTGTGTAAACTAATAAATTCATCGAGATTAAATGGTTTAACAGTAATTAGTGCTTGCTTTTGTGCTCAAACCTTGTGTGTTTCGTTCAACAGTAATTGCTGAGCCACTAAAAGAGAATCTTGAACAGCTTCGATAAATCTTAATTTTTTTTTGGATTTGTTTGGTCGACAGTAAAGTTAAAGGCAAAGGGCTCCAAATTTTGTTCTTGTTCGTTGTGCCGTTTAAAGGCGATTTAAATGTTGTTTATTTGTGCTCTAAGAATAAATCCACTATTTTTTATTTGTTCAGGTTATTCGGCGAAGGATGAAAATCGAGGAGCAGAGTAATAATAAGCAAAGAATTGTCGCTACTGCTGCTGATGCTTCAGCAACTGTGAGGGCTTCTTGTTTGCCAATAAAGTGTTGTTCTCGGAGTTCAAAACTTAATATGTGAAAATGATGTCTCCTTGTTTTGATTGTAATTCGTGGTTTAGTTGTGTGGTTTGTTCGTGTTTTCAGCCGCATCCGGTAGCGTAATTGACTGCCCGATAATTGACTCCCCGATTCTGCCATAATATAAAACAAAGCTTGTGCTTAAGTAGACTTTCTTGCTACCAATATAACTTTTTACAATTGTTTTCCAAGCCTCGTTTAGTTGCTGAGATAAGATTGTGCAGTATTATGAGAATTCAATTTTATAATTGCAAAAAGTATGTCGAAATTACCCCTTCGTGCCTTTTCATCTCCTTTTTGATAACTTCATTAATCTGCGAGTAATGTTAGCGTAAAAATGGGCAAAAAATTAATCAAGCCTTGAAATTCTAACGCATAATTTGGAGAGAAAAAAACATAGCCAAAGAAACACTAAAAAGGAAAGAATGAATTACGGTCACCCCTTGAGGGAAACCCGAATTACCAAAAAAAAAAAAAAAAAAAAAAAAAATTACCTCCAGTTTGGATAAATATAACCACCCTCCCGAAAAAATCATTCATTCAGTAGGTGAATTTGACACCGTAAGAGTGGATGTATAAGACAATATATAGTTAGAAGGTGATTGTAATTCCATAAACATGAAGATTTTTTCGTAATTTGAGTATACCACAGCGGCATTAATTTGCTCAAAAAGATATAGTTAGAAGGTGATTGTAATTCCATAAACATGAAGATTTTTTCGTAATTTGAGTATACCACAGCGGCATTAATTTGCTCAAAAAAGAAAGGTATGGAGTATTTAGACTAACTAGATACAAAATAAGATCCAATTATCTAATAAAGCATGCCTAATCACACCAACCATACAAGTCACAGACACACAATAAATAATCCAGAGCATGTTACATTCTCTCAAATGAAACGCAATCATCCTGATAAAAGATAGTTCAATCCCACTACTACTCATAAATAAATAAAAAACAAGCTAAATAATAACCTCATCCTATTAAAATAAACACTCCCAACCAATAGAAGAAAAAAAAACCATCTAAAATAAGATAATAATAAACAAACATCTAAGGTGGGGCCCACTCCACATCACTTCCTCTTCTTGGCCGGGGGTTGATCCTCCTCCTCGTCGTCCTCCTCCTCATCCTCGTCATCATCATCATCGTCATCATCTTCATCGCCATCATTGTCATCATCGTCGTCGTCATCATCATCGCTGCCTTCATTGCCATTAGCGGCGGGGTCCGCCTCGGGGTCCGCCTCGTCATCATCTCCGGCCTCCTCACCGCCCGAGAAGTCCTCGTCGCCGGCATCGTCATCGTCCTGGTCCTCAACCTCCTCTTCATCGTCCTCGTCGTCATCCTCTGTGTCACTCCCGTCTTTGTTCTCGGGGCCCGCTTTCTCGACCCTGCGAAGCTCCTCCATGGGAAACCTGTTTAACAAATCGTTATTTTCGCTAACATGTTGTATGGGTTTTTGCCGGCAAAAATGGTTTCGGGAAATGGAAATTTACCGTTTCGCCATCCAGTCTGGTAGCCCGTCGGCGGCGTTCAGCATAGCTTCGGCCTGCGAACATCATTTAGAACGGTGAGAAGGGGATCGAAGCAACATTCTAAATGTGCACAAGAGTAATAAAAATGTTTCTAATTGCAGAAATCATTGGCAGCAGATTTATGTACATAACATAAAAATAACATGAAGCAAAGAAAACGGTGAAATCAATCGCAGTAGATACAAATTAATCACTAATAAACAGCTTGCAACAATCAATCTTAGAGGCGATACAATAATACATTCACCATTGGGGATTGTTAATCAATATCCCCAGCATCGGACATCAAAGTAAACGATGTTACAATTCCAGACTCAAATAAGTTGGAAAGATAAGTTTGTACTTCGACAAAGTTAACCAAGTTCGAGTTGAATGCTTACGTACTTCATCAAATATCCAATTAAAATTGGGGGTGGGGGGCAATAAGATTCCTATTAGTAATGACAATTGCAAGTGTAAGTTTGTGTTAACGAAGACGAGGAGATTAGAAAAAGAAAAAACAAATCGCACATACGACAAGTACTGAAACCGAAAAGAAGATTCCTTGTCTTGGTGCAAATTTAAATGCGCCGTCACGGACTTCACCCAAAAAAAAAAACGAGAATTAATTACTTCCAAAAGATTCTCCCTGCCACGGATAGGCCTATTTTACTTGAAATCTTACATATTAGTAAGAATTTATGTCTTTAATCATCCCGTTATCTCTCAACGGTCCTCCAACCGTTTTTAACTTAATCAAACACCCCATCAAAAACACATTCTACAACAAAAAAACCCGACACAACTACGAGATAACTTGAACCAAGACAAAGCATAACAAATCCCGTTCCCGTAAGTAATTTCACAAAACAACAGGGCACAAAGGTTTCATCTTTCATCCATCCACAAATACAATAGATCTCAGAATGCACGAGGCTCGATTTAAAAAACTCGGTCCCCCAAACATTCCACAAAATTAAAAACAAATCCTGACTTTACAAAATCACTTCAGCTATTAATACATTCCAAAATTACTCACCGCAAAAATCAAAAACTACCAAAATTCACAACAACAATCAGTAAATCAGTTGCGCAATTGCAAAATCTCATAAACCCCCATCATGAATTCAATACATAAACACAAATAAAAAAGGGTAAAAATTCAAGTTTAGAGAGAGAAATTCACCAGCATAAGAAGGGAAACTAGGGTTTTGTGAGCAGCGAAAACAGTATTAACCGCTGCAGCCTCGAGAAAAGAGGAAACCATAAGCTGTTTGCTCAAAACAGCCATGTCAGGGCTCAACTTATTCACCTCCATTTTTACCCCCAAAAAAAAAGCTCCGGAGAAAACCCTAGAAAAAATTATCTTGTCGGAAGGAAATAAAGGCGGAAGAATGTTGGAAGAAAAACAGCAGAAAGGAAAAAAATCAGAGTGAGGTAGAGGAGAGAGAAACAGAGAAGTTAGAGAGAGAGATTCCTGGGTAGGGTTGTTGAATTATGGTGTGTAAAAAAACGAGGAAAAAAAAAAGATGTTTGACTAAGGTTTTGGTTTTACTGACTAGGGTTTTGTGGGTGGAAAATGCTATTTCGAGATTGTCTAGGGGGGTTGATGCAAAGTTTTTTCGAGTGTTTTCGAATTCGAATCCAGTGCAATTAATTGGGGCGTGTCATTGGGCCGTTGGATGTTTTGCTAAATCAAATGTCCACGCGCTTCACTGAGACGTACATAGCACATTTTCTTTTCCTCGTGCAATTTCTTTAAATTTAAGGTTTTTATATATTAATTGAGAGATTTACTAAATATTATTTAAATGTTATGTTTTTAAAAGTTAAAACCCAATCGAATGTAGAATAGGATGGCCAACTGGGTCACGATAGGCCGACAACTCGTTCAATCGGATTTTTTTTCATCGTTATAAATGATTGTAAAGTGATTTATCTAGTAAAAAATCTCATAAAAAATCACTTGAAATAAAATATACATCACTAAATATCAATTTAAAGACTCAAATTCAATTTATTAATCACCCAGTATTAGATTCAAGTATAAAGATATAAGATTCAATACTATAATCTTATATATAAAAGAAAGAAACGCTGGGCAACCCTAAAAAATCCTAACGTATTTTTCTAATTATTTATTTTTAATATTTTTTCTGTACTAATTTTCAATAATTATCCATCACCTATTTTCCATCAATATATCTCAAATCTTAATATATAAAGATAGAAATTCGATATATAAAAGAAAGAAACGCTGGGCAACCCTAAAAAACCCTAACGTATTTTTCTAATTATTTATTTTTAATATTTTTTCTGTACTAATTTTCAATAATTATCTATCTCCTATTTTCCATCAATATATCTCAAATCTTAATATATAAAGATAGAAATTCGATTTGTTAAATTTAAACCTATATATTTGGATTATAAATTTTAATATGTAAGATTTAAAAAAACTGATGTTATATAAAATATGAGTAATACTACATTATTAAATTTTGCTATATTTATGTACTATATTTTATTATTGCTTTTAAGCGATTTCTCTAAGTGACAGTGGCGGCCCTGGCCCAGGGCGAGCTGGGCTCAAGCCCAGGGCCCACCAGAGGATGGGGCACAAAAAAAAAATCTTAATATACGTAAGTATATATTCCTTTTTTTTTCCTAATTTTCCTTTATTCCAAATTTTTTTTTTCTCCCTATGTTACGCAATCAATTCAACGGCAAATCCAATTTTCAAGCCCTCAATTTATTTCTCCTTTTCTTTCTCAATAAACTCAACGGTAAACTCCTATATTCAAGCCCCAAAATTGGCTTCTCAAAGCAGATCTTGGAATCCCAAGATTTGCCTCTTCAAATTCTTCTTCTTCACAAAGTCGATATATTGGATGTTTACATCAGTATTTTTCATGTTCAATTCTAAAGCAAAAAATATTATTGAAGAGAAATATTATTCAATTTCATTCTCCCAAAGTGAATCGATAAACCTCAAAGAAAACGGTTGCATATTTTCGGGCGAAAGAACTCTAGCAATTCCCGTCATCCTATATCCGGTCGAAGGATGGTCTCCAACGATTTTCTTCATTCTTACAGTAGGTGTATGTTTTTTTCTTTTTTTTTTATTATTATTATTTTCACCCAACAATAGTTTATTTATTAAATTATATTTCTTTATCCAGGTACTTATAGGAATTGAATTTTGAATTAGAAAACAAGTCTATAGATGTCAACAAGCCTGTGAATTGCAAAACAAAGAAAATGAGCCACTAGACAGATATTTCTCCAGATGCTATTGTTTCTTTTATTTATTTATTTTTATTTAGATTAGTAGTATTGTTGTTGAGTTTAATTTTTCACTGAAAATTTAATATGAGTCCTAAAAAACAAGACCTTGGATTTAAAAAAAGGGAAAAAAGGAAAAGAAAAAAACAAGATGAGGAAGATGTGCATTTAAGAAAATCTATGGCTAAATGAATTTTCAAAAAACATGATAATTTAGGTAATGCAATAGTTGAGAATTTAGATAATATTAACGAGGCGAATGAAGAGAATAAAAATTGTGTGAATGAAGAAATTGGTGATGTAATTGAATCTGAGAATGAAGTTAATATAAATGAAGAAAGTGATAATGCATTTAACAAACCAAATTTGGATGTGGATATTTATGACCCAAGGGTATGGGATGGTTTAGATGCGAAGTTTAGAGACTTGCTTGTAGAAAAAGGCCATAAAAGAGAATTAAATGTAGAATATCCTCTTGATAAACTTGGTAGGCATTTCTCCTCAAATTTTTATATGCGAGTATTATCTAATGGGGAAAAACATGATAGAAAGTGGCTAGTATATTCAAAATATTTAGATAAAGTTTTTTGTTTTTGTTGTAAGTTATTTAAAACAATGCCGAGTAGAAGTTTGTTAGGAAGCGAAGGAATTTGTGATTGGAAACATCTTAGCGAGAAACTTACACAACATGAAAATAGTAAAGAACATCTCATTAACTTAAGAACTTGTGTTGAGTTGCGAATTCGATTGAGCAAAAATCAAACAAATGACAAAGAAATACAAGAGCTAATTAAGCAAGATACTCAACATTGGAAACAAGTTATGCTTAGAATAGTGGTTGCTGTAAAATGTCTTGCAATACATAATTTGGCATTTCGTGGCACAAATGAACGGCTTAATGAAGATGCAAATGGAAATGTTTTGGGCTTAATTGAAATGATTGGGGAGTTTGATCCGGTAATCCAACATCATTTTCGACTAATTCAAGATAAAAAAAATTCATTATCATTATCTTAGTCATAAAATACAGAATAAATTAATACAAATTCTAGCTTCAAAAGTCAAAGATGCAATTATTGAAATAATACGAGAGGCAAAATATTATTCTGTAATCCTTGATTGTACTCCAGATGCAAGTCATCAAGAACAAATGACAGTAATTATAAGATGTGTAGATGTGTCAGATACTCTAGTAAAAGTAGAAGAATACTTCTTAGAATATAGAAATGTGGTTGATACTTCTGGATTCAGGCTTTCTAATGAATTAAATATGTTTTAACATCTCTTTCACTTAATATCGATAATATTAGGGGGCAAGGATATGATAACGGCTCTAGTATGAAAGGAAAAAATATAGGTGTCCAAAGAAGATTGCTCGACATTAATCCAAGAGCGTTTTAAATGTCGTGTGCTTCTCACTGTCTTAATTTGATTCTTTGTAAAATGACAAACTCTAGTATCAAAGCAAAAAGTTTTTTTGGAGCTTGTCAATGCATATATACTGTTTTTGCTAATTCCACAAAACGTTGGAATATTTTACTTGATTATATTGATGGATTAACTTTAAAATCATTGCCAACTACACGTTGGGAAAGTCATATTGAAAGTGTTAAAGCAATTTTATCTCAAGTTTCCCAAATTAGAGAAGCATTGCTAGAATTGGTAGAAATTAGTGATGATGCCAAACTGAGTAGAGATGCTAAATCATTAGCATTAGGAGAACTTTCAAATTTTGAATTTATACTAAGTTTAGTTATTTGGCATGATGTTTTGCTTCGAATTAATGTAGTTAGTAAGAAGTTACAATCTGAAGATATGTGTCTTGATGTTGTTGTTAAACAATTGGAAGGATTGATTTCATTTTTTGAGAATTATAGATTAAATGGATTAAATTCAGCCATTGTAGATGCTAAGAAAATAGCAATTGATATGGAAATTGAGCCTATATTTGTTTAAAAAAAAATAGTAGAAAGAGGCATTTTGATGAAACTTTTAATAATGAGAGAGAACATACATCAACAGAAGAATATTTTAGAACATATTATTTTCTTGTAATAGTAGACAACGCTCTTTCTCAATTGAGGAGTAGGTTGAACAATTGCAATTGTTTCACTCTATTTTCGGGTTTTTATTCAATACAAAAAACTTTATTTCATTAGATAGTAAAGAATTGAAGTCTCATTGTGAGAATCTTGAAAATGCTTTAAAATATGGTGATGTTTTTGATGTTAATGCTAGAGATTTAATTTCTGAATTGGAGGTGTTACAAGCTATGTTACCAAGTGAATCATATGAAATAAATAAATCATGGAATTGCATTAAGATATTAGAGTTTGTAAAAAGTATGGATATGTTTTCAAATGTAATGATTGCTTATAGAATATTGTTGACTATTCCTATTACTGTTGCATCCGCGGAAAGAAGTTTTCCAAATTAAAGTTGTTGAAATCTTATTTGAGAAGTACAATGGCTCAAGAAAGGCTTAATGCTTTAGCAATACTATGTATTGAAAAAAAATATGTTGGAAAGTACTTCATATGATAGTATAATTGATGATTTTGCTTCTAAAAGTGCAGCAAGAAGATACTTTGATTGTTTTTGTTCTTTCTTATTATTTTGTAGGTGATGCTTAATTGCGGTGATCAAGCTACAAAGCAAATGGATGATAACTTTACGTTGATTGCTTCTTTGTATCGTGTGATTTTACTAGTTTTATTTTTTTTTTTTTTTTTTTTTGAGTTTTGCTATTTCTTTTTGGGTTAGGGTACTCTTTTTCCTTCTTAGAGGTTTTGTCCTAACGGGTTTTTCCCTAAGAAGGTTTTAACGAGGCCCAAATAATTTTAACCCATTTTTCTTTAAACTCGTTTTATTGTAATGAACCTACGACGCATGAAAGAAAATTATACGTTTCATTATTTTAGTATATGTTTACAGAAAATTAATTAAATCCCTTAACTAAGGGCACATTTTCAATTTTTTGCCCAAGGCCTTCAAACTGTCCGGGCCGGCCCTGCTAAGTGAGGAAGTTTTTATAACTGTTGCTAAACGTGAAGAACTTGATGATTTGCTTATTCTGCTATTATCTTGAATCTAAGTGACTATGTGTTTAGGGAAGTAGGAAATCATGATTCTGCTAGAAGTTTATGGGATATATTGGAAGAGCTTTATGTTGAAAATTCTTTGCCCAATAAAATGTTTTTGTTTGAAAAGTTTTTTGGATTTAAATTGG